CTAGATGGCCGCTTGTTTACCTTCAAGCTTTTAAGACCCCAGACGCTATATCTTTTGATAGCCGGGCACCATCAGCTTTCTTCACCACATCTGCTTATTCACCCGCTTTGTCTTCAGCGGTTGTGTCGGGAAGCACCTAAAGTCTTGGCATGACCCACAGAGGGCAGAGTTAATCTGCTCCATCTTTCAGCTCTAAAGGGTTCAAGAATAACTCTATTACAGTGACACTAAATCTCGAATGCTTTAATAGTCAGGTTCTACTCATGGAATTTAGACCCAATTTGGGTCAGCACCTCATTGCCCCCAGAGAACAGCAGCAGCTCAGAGGCCAAAGTATGTCCAAAATGGAAGGGCCCATCTCCACCTGCCAGTCCGTGCTGGAGTTGCTGGGCCCTGGCAGCCACTTCCTCCATGGCCCCCATCAGAAGAGGCCCTTGCTCAGGGGCTGCAGTCTGGTCCCCATGTGCCGGTTCAACTCCTCCAGAACCTGCTTCTCCTTCTGGAACATCTGGAAGAGGGGCGGAAACCTGCTGCAGTGCCTCCCAAAGGGGATACTCCTCCCCCAGGTCCCAGTCCAGGGGTGAGGAAGGAGGCATGCCTGCGCTCCCCTGTTGCCCTGCATCCCCGGCTGGTCCTTGTTATGGACTGATGGTATCCCTTAAACTGTGTACTGAATATGCCGCCCCTGTACGTGTGGACGTGATCCTGTTTGGGATTAGGGTTTTCTTTCATGATGTTATAAAGGCCATCGCAGAGGCTCTAAACCGAATCCTTCTGCATTCTAAAAAGAGTCAACAGACACAGACCCCCTGGGGGAAGAGGAGACGACAGTGGAGGCATTTGCACCTACAAACGGGAGCACCAAGGATAGCAGCAGCGACTGAAGCTGAAATAGACAAGGGAGGATTATGAGAAAATAGATCTCTATTTTTAAAAGACACCCACTGGGGTATTTCTGTCACCGCAGCTCTAGGAGAGTAAGGCAGCCCCCCCTCCCTTGTAAAGCCTCTCCCTGCTGAGGCTCATGGCCACCTCTGCACAGTGGCGGAATCATACGGTGGGGGAAGGGGGAGGCTGGCCTGCCAGGGGTGGGAGGGAGAGCTTGTCGAGGTAGGACCAGATGAGCAGGTGCCAGGGAGGGTGGGTGGGGGCATTCAGTGGAAAGGGAAAGGGTCAGGCATCTTCTGAGAAAGGAAGTGATGGCCCGGCCTGGCGAGGGTGAAGTGGGAATCTTGAGTCTTGCTGGAGGCCCTTCAAGTTCTGACCCTGGTGCATAACGGTTGCCTTTCCCGATATGCTCCAGGTGCCAGGTGGATGGGTGTGAAGGACTGGGGGATGGTAGCAGTGGGGATGTGGCAGCTGAGAGAACAGGCAAGGGGGCAACAACCAGAGTCAAGAGGAAGAAGCCCAGTTTGTACCTTCTGCCACGCGGACTCGGTGTCGTGTGTGAACCCCAGCAGGTGGCAGAGCCCATGGGTGGCCGTCACCTGTCAAAGTCATTTGGAAAAAGCCTCAGGAAACAATCCAACAAACTCCAAGCCTTTTCAGAAATGACCTCCAGTTGTAAGTAGCCTCCCATGCCCGGCCTGGGACCTCCCCTTTCTTCATGGGCAAGGCAAGCCAGACCTTGCTACCCATGGCCATGCCTTCTCCCCAGCAGCTTGCTTTACACCTGCACCTGTGCAAGTCACCGTGCACGCGCACACGAGAGCCTCCTTCACTCCCCAGGCCAGGCCATGTCAGTGCTGCACTCACAGTTAGGATGTCGTAGTAGTCTTCCTCGGCTTTACACTGCTGCAAGATATACTCCACTCCCAGGAAGATGTCGCCCAGGTTACAGTCATCTGGACAGTCAGGCTGGGGAATTTCACCGGCCTTCAGATTCTGAAAAGGAGCAAATGCAGACTTGGAGAACACCACATCAGTGACATCGAAGACCGGACCACAGGCTACAGGGCCGGGCTGAGCTGCACACTGTCCCCAGGCGGGGGTGGGGTGGGGTAGGGTACCAGTAGGGGCTCTGTGGAGGACGGGGTCCAACCACTGCACACAAGAATTATGGGTCAGCTTAAGATATGAACATAATCATAATTTATAATTTATCAAGGGTTCATGAGGGTGGGAAGGTGGGGGAGGGAGAAAAAAATGAGGAGCTAATACCAAGGTCTCAGGTAGAAAGAAAATATTTTGAAAAGGATAATGGCAACATATGTACAAATGTGTTTGACACAAAAGATGTATGGATAGTTATAAGAGCTGTAAAAAAGCCCCCAAGAAAATGATTTAAAAAATGAAAAGAAAAAAGAAAGAATTATGGGTCAGCTTAAGATGTTTGCACCCGATCAAGTGGATTACTTTCCATTCGGTCATCCCTCCCAACATAGAATCATATGGACTCCTAACTACTAGAGAGTTAAGCATCACAGTGACTCAGTGAAATGTTCCTGGTCACTCTGCTTGGTATTCCATCCTCAACAAGTCTCCACAAAGACCACCCCATTCTGCTGGGAAGGCACCGTAAGCCAGTCACCCACGGTCGGTACTTAGCGTGTTTGCATTTTTTATTTCGTGTTACAGAAAATAAATGAGCATTTTAGTATATTTATCTTCTTTCACTCTTGCAGGTGTGGTGGCAGTGGCCTAGGTTATATACACAATAAATTGTAGGTGTGGTGGCAGTGGCCTAGGTTATATATACAATAAGTTGTAGGTGTGGTGGCAGTGGCCCGAGTTGTATATACAGGCCTGAGCTGGACCCTATATAAGGCAGAACCTGCTAGAGAAGAAAAGCTCACAGATTTTCCACTACTAAAGGGCAAGTGGGAACGCTCGCTGTACGCTGTCCAAAGGAGAAAACTTGGAGACCAGGACAAACAAGGCAGTCCGATGGAGTTCTGGCTCTTAGAACTTTCACTGCAAATGTTTTATTTGCTGTTGAAACTTATTGCCAAACTTTTCAACAGGTTAATCCAATTTATGCCGAGACTAACACCATGCCCGGCCTTGGCCGAGTCATTTGCTTAACGTAGACGGGAACCTAATAGGGTCACATTAGCTGGCAGTCTTGAGGTCACACAGTAACAACTTGATAGCTTCCACATCTTCCTTGTTGAAAACATTGACCCTGTTATTTCCGTTTTAAATCCATGCATATTGTTACTGATCACCCTTAAAATAGCTGATGCACTTTATCTCTCTTTTTAAATGCCCATGTGGCTTTTCTTCTCCAGAAAAGTTAGTTTCAGAAAGCCACGGGGGTCAGTTTAATCCTGTCCTGTACAGTCATTAGGGACTTAACAGTGAATTTGGAGTTTTCAGATGGCGTTAAAGAGTGGAGAATCCAATCACCTATTCCCACAGGTGGAATTGGGTGATGGGCATTGGTCCATGGAAGCTGATGACAGCGTTCTCTTTATTTGGGGTATACTTGACCATTTTCTAAATAAAAATACTTTGATGAGGCTACAATGTCCCTGACGTGAATAAAGTCAAATATCACTGAGGCTTAGCGATTCACTGTGGCCGGCTGACTAAACAAGAGCAAGCTATTTTTTACCTCATGGAAAGGAAAAGAAAGCACATCTGTTGGGACGTTTTTCTCTCTGTAGATTCTATTAATGTGCTGAATAGTCTTGTTGTCAACGCAGATGACACCCAGGTCAAACTTCTGCACCCCTAGGACTCTCCGCACGAGCTCAATCTTCCTGCGCAGTGGGACTCTCCGAATGGGGACGACGCGCTGCAGATTTCTCAGCACCAAACTCATTGCAAGACCCACCGGCACCTTGAGAGTCGTTTGCAAAGGGATCTGCGGTCAAAAGGTCAAAGAAGACAAATCTGTCAATTCGGTGAAAACACGCGCGCGGGCACCGTCACTTTACTTGGTAGCATTCGCGGGGATTTCACAGAAATGGGCGGAAGGAGGATGTGAAGCGAGGTAGGGTGGGCTGGGACTGGATTCGATGGGGTGGCAAGAAGTGCGGGCAGAGCGGGGAGTTGGGGGGCAGGCTGCGTGGGGCCGCGAGGAGATGGTTCCGCCCGCATTCCGGGGACAAGGGGCCCCGCGCTTGCGTACCGACACTCACAGGCGGCGGGGCCAGGCCTGTCAGGGCGGCCGGCGCGGGCGGGGCTGATCCCGCCCTGGTCCCGCCCACCGGAAGTTGAGCCGCGGTCCCGGCCGAAAAGCGGAACCCGAGAGCTGTGCACCCGGAGCGGCCCGGAACTGAAAAGCGGAACCCGAGAGCTGCGCATCCGGAGCGGCCCGTACCGGAAGTTCGTCCGCTGCGTTTTCTGCCCGCAGCTCCCAGGGAGGCGCTGGCTTAGGTACTTGCACCCAGCCTTTGTCTGCACCCGGCGCCTAGGGGACCCAGGGCACGGGCGGCCTCGGGCTTTGGAGGCCCTGCAGCCTAGGAGTGAGCGCAGCGTCGACGTTGGGGCGGCTCAGAGCCCCACTTCCGCCTTGACGGCCGACGCTAACGGGGCGGGCTGGGCCCTTGGACGGCGGGACTCGCTGGGTGAGATGCGCGTCCCCTGCTCCCGGTGGCCAGAGGCTGCACCTCCGCGTTCGCGATCGCGCGCGCGCCTGCGTTGTGGGAGCCCGTTCCCGGAGTAGTCGCCTAGGTGGTAAATGAGAACAGCCTAACCCCCAGGATCTCCTAAACAAAACAACAAAAATCAATGCATCCCAAATATTTTACTTCCGGTACAAATACTTTAATGCTCAGTTTATTGGGGGTGGGATGGGGGGGGTGGAGTAGGAAACACTAATGTTCAAATTGTTACATCCTTGCACTTAGGATTGCAAGGAGAAAGCAAACTTATCTCGAAGTTGCAAAGTGTAACGGCAGTCATGTTATCGTTTGAGGTTTTGGGTAAACGTACCAGCACAGTAAAATGATTGGAATTCCGTTACCTTCTTTAAAAAAAAAAATCTTTTAAAAGACCACACCATAAACCTTCCTAGCAGAGTTCTGTGTATCCTCCCCTCCCCTTGCTCTCCAAAAGCAGAACCGACTACCTCTAGGAAAGTAAGACTATTCCACTCGGTCCTTGGCCCTCCTAAAGAATGATCCTTAGCTGTGATCTCTGGTTTCTTTTCATTGATTCAATCCTCTATGGGGGCACAGCCACAGTGGTTAATACAAATGTTTCTCTTTCAGCTTCTTGTGATGATAAAGGAGCACTGCGATGGCACCACACCCTGTTTAAGGAAAGGGGCTCATTTTGCACACAGTCCCTACTACTGTCTGTCAGAACTTGTATCTGAAGATGAACCCCTCTAACCCTTTCAGTGGGCAGCAGCCTGGTATGTTTTCACCGTCTTCCAGCAGCACCCTAGGGGCATTTCATGCCAACCAGCCATTCCAATTTGGTCAGCCTTCTCTTTTTGGACAAAACAATCCATCACCAGGACAAAGCTCAGGATTTTCACACATGTCCAGCTTCCCAGCGCCTTCAGGAGCAAGTCATTCCTCTTCAGGGCCAACTTCAAATGTTGGGCTCTTTTCTGGACTTGAACACAGTTCAACCTTTGCAGCTGCCTCTGGATCTTCAAGTTCATCTATGTCTGGAAACCCAGGATTTAGCTTTAAATCACCCACCAACCTTGGGGTTTTCCCACATTCGTCTCCCTTTGGACTGGAAGCTGGAGAGAGAGTGACCTCTGGCTTTGGAAAAACTGAATTCCGCTTTAAGCCTCTGGAAAATGCGATGTTCAGACCAATATTGGGGGCTGAAGCTGAGCCTGAGAAAACCCAGAGCCAAATTCCTTCTGGGTTTTTCTCATTTTCCCACCCAGTTAATAGTGGCTCTCGGGGACTGGCCCCTTTTTCGGTTCCTCCAGGGACAAGTAACTCGTCTACCAATTCAAATTTCACCTTTTCAAAACCAGTTAATAATAGTAACAGTTCATCATCTGTGTTTGCACCTGCCTTGTCAAACCAAAGCGTAGAGGAAGAGAAGCGAGCTCCTAAATCCCTGTTTGGGGGTTCTCACAGCAGCTTCACCACATTCCCTGCGTCATCTTCCGGAGCTTTGGGTGACCCGTTTGCAGGAGGCAAAATAGCTGTGAGGCAGGGATGTGAAGAAGCGGTCTCCCAGGTGGACCCACTTCCCAGCCTCGTGAAAGGCCTGAAAAGGAAGGAGGACCAGGATCGCTCCCCCAGGAGACATGACCGAGACATTGTGGAAGACTCCGACTCCCTGTCCCGGAGCGACCACCCGCCCCCGGATAAGCGGCCTGTCCACCTGAACCGACCCCGTGGAGGCACTCTCTTTGATCGGACCTTACAGGACGTCCTGAAGAGCAATAAAGACGTAGGCCGTGTGGGCAAGGAACTTAAGAGGGAAAGTGGCTGTGTTGAGTCGGAGGAAAACACGCATCTGGCTGTGCCAGGAGGGAGTCCGTCTGTCTTGGCCCTTTCCAGGCTTTCTGGTGTGAAAAAAGAGGAAGAAACAGAAGGCAGAAGTAAAAAAGAAGGTGAGCGCTAAAAACGTAAAGCAGATTTAATCTGACTGGCCAGTCCACGGTGTACCTGGGCCTTAAGCTGATCTACCTTGTCCACTGTGGGGCTCCTGACTTGTCAGAGGAATTCCAGCGGGCAGCAGTTCCTAACTACAAGCGCAGCTTCTTCCTTTGCTTTTGCAGAGTTAGTGCCTCGTTAACGCTTGATGCCGCTTTTCTGGTTCCTCCAGATTCTCTAAGAGGAACTCCTGCACCGAGGAAGAGAGGCGAGAGCACAGACAGCCTCGGGGGCGTGTCCTCTACGGAATTGACGGCCATCCAGTGCAAGAACATCCCCGATTATCTCAATGACAGGTCCGTTCTGGAGAAACACTTCAACAAAATCGCCAAAGTGCAGCGGGTCTATACCAGGCGCAGCAAAAAACTCGCTGTGGTGTATTTCTTCAATCACGTGAGTACCTCCAACTTGCCACCTGTTGCCCGAGGTTTACATTTTTAACCCCACCCACCATCCACTGCTGTGGGTGGAACTGACTTGATGGCACCTAACAGAAACAACCACCTACCCGACCAATTTCTCCGTTCTTCAAGGAGTCTTGGTGGCTTCGGGGTAAGCTGGTGGTTGCTAACTGAAAGGTTGGTGAACCCCTTAAGGAATGGTCCACCCTCACAGGTACCACGTATATGTGTGCCCACACATACCTGGCTCCGTTTCTGGTCTTTTAATCTATCTAATGTTTATGGGTGCCCTGAGGCATTTTAATATTTGGTAATGAATATAATTCCTCATCTTTCAACATTGTTTCTCCCCCCCCAACCTCAACCCCCCGTGGGGGAGGGGCTGTTGTAATGTGCCTACTCTTCCCATTGAAGCTGAAAACTTAAAAAACAAGGTTGTATGACAAGGTTGTCATCATAGAGAACTCATTATTACAACAAAGCTTAGCTTCCCTGGTGGCACGCTTGGCTTGCCGTGGTTAGCCAGTGTGGCTTTGTCAACGCACCTGTGGGTGTGTTCGCACGGAGGTGGGCGTGTGTACATTCTGTGGTAGGTGATCTCCCGCGCGTCACTCTACAGATGCTTTTGCTTAAGTGTGACTGAGATCTTGAATTCTGTGTGTGATCAGATGAACGTCATCTCGTCTAAAGCCAGTGAGGCTGAGTGTGTGGACGTGCTCACCGTAAAGAAGTTCAACTTCTGAAGGCTCACATGCTGTGAGACAGGGGAGGAAGTGGCAGTTGCGTGGCAGTGTGTCTCTGGGGAAAGGGGTGGGGCCTCGCTTTGGATCCCTTGATGTGGTGGGCTATGCACTGAACTGCTCACCCTCCAGTGTGAACCATCAGCCGTTCTGCGGGAGAAAGGGAAGGCTGTCTGCTCCCCAAAAGAGTTAAAGTCTCAGGAACCAAAGGGGCAGTTCTGCTCTGTCCTACAGGGTCACAATAAGCGGAAATCGACTTGCTGGCAATGCATTTGTTTGGTGTGTGTTTTTTTGGTTTAACATTAATCACTGTGTTTCACCAGTTGTCTTCAAGTTCCAATTCGTAATGACCCCACGGGTATCAGTGAAACTACACCCCAGGTACTTTCAGTGGCTGAGTATTGGCAAGTCGATTGTCAGGCCTTTCTTCCGAGGCACCTCTGAGTGGAGTTGAATTTCCAGACTCTCTGGTTAGTCCTGAGTACGCTAGCTATTTGCACCACAAGTTTTTTATTTTTAGGTACAAAAATCCAGACAGGCTAAAAATGAGCACATCTGGTCCTACTGGCCACCCTTTACTTTTGTATGGGTCGGGATACAAGTACAAGTGACTCTAATTTGCTTACACGGCAACTGTCACTGGTTCTCAACCTTCCTCATGCTGCGACCCTTTAGTACAGTTCCTCATGTTGTAGTGACACTCCCAGCCACAAAATTATTTTTGTTGCTGCTTCATCACTGCAATTTTGCTACTGTTAAGAATCAGGCGACCCCTGTAAAAGGGTCATTCGACCCCCAAGGGGGTCCTGACCCACAGGTTGAGAACTGCTGGTCTAAGTTATCTAATGTTAGAACAGAAATCCCACAAGTGGTTGGTTTTAGCCCAGAGACATTCATTCTCTCACAGTTTGGAAAGCTTAAACCCAAATCCAGACTCACGATAGCAACCCTGTAGGACAGAGTGGAACTGCCCCTGTGTGCTACCAAGATTAAACCTTTATAGAAGACGGCCTTGTTTTCTCCCGGGAGTGGCTGCAGTTTGAACCACTGACCTTGTGCTTAGCAACTCACGTGGTCATCCCCTGTGCCACCAGGGACCCTTGGGAAGGCTAGAATTGAGGGCTTTCTCTATTGGCTCACAGTTTAAGGGGAGGGGCCTTGTCTCCTAGTATCGGTGGACCTGGTGTTCCTTAGAGAACTTCATGTGTCTTGGCATTAGTCTTCTCCTTGTCTTGAAGGTGCTTGGAAGGGCAGCGTCACATCACTTATCAATTCTGTCCTGCACTCAGACCACCCCTTTGGCTGTCCTCCCTGCATGTGACTTTTCTACATTTCCCTTGGTGTTGTCTCCTCATTTGTGGCGTCGGGCTGTTTTCCAGGCATCTGCAGCCCTGGCGAGAAAGAAGGGGAAAAGTCTGCATGAAGATGTGACCATCTTCTGGCATAAGAAGAAAGCAAGTGAGTTTTCAGTTAATCTTTCCAACCGCCAGCCCTGGCCCCGTAGGTGAGGTGGCCCCTTGTTTCTCGTGGTGGATTCTTGGGGCCTCGCTTTCTCAAAAAGGTCATACGAAGTCCAGTGTGAGATGACGCATACTATCGTGTACTCTGTCTGACTTCTGTCCCCTCAGGTCCCAATAAGAAGCCCTTTATCCCCAAAGAAAAGCAGCCAGGCGACGGTGACGCGAACCTAGGCCGGGAAGACGTATCCTCCCACTCCCCCCTGTGCAAGCCCGTGAGCAGGGTGGCAGCCAGCAGCGGCCTCCTGAGTAAAAGGTGAGGCCCAGCCTTTCCAGTGCTGAAGGCCGTGCAGTGTTCGCGTGGCACAAAGGTCCTTGACTCCAGGGGGGGAGGGGGTGCGGGTGGCGGTAGGGTGGATGTGTTCCTGGCCTCTGGCACATCTGGAGCCTGGGTAGAATGTAGGGCAATGTGCTGGGGGGTGGGGGGGTGGCAAGGGCAGGAGAAGCTGAGGAAGGGTGCTGATGGGGCTGGGGGATGTACGGGGAGATGCAGACAACACATTGCTGCTGTGGGTTTTTCTGGGCTGCCTGTCCCCCCAAGCCAATGGTATGGTGTGGGAGGGGAGGGGTCAGCAGCCCCTGGGCCTGCATGAGGGCTGGAATGACCCTTTGGAACCTAGACCGATGGGGCTGGTGGTCTCAAGACCAGAGCATTTGCACAGGAGTTTCTGACTCTGGATCTCGCTGACCACAGAGGGGATGGCGACACATTGATGTGTATCTTGTTCTGTTTTGTTTATCATGGCCTTGGCTGTGAGAGCCCTCCTATGGAGCTGCCTCATCCCAGCATTCCCCTTCCCCCCTGCCCTTGCCTCAGAGTGTACCGTGGGGCTGTCTCCTCCTTGGAGTTCCCAGGGTGCCGTCTGGGCAGGTGGAGGGGGTACGTGGCCTTGTGGCAGCACGTGGTTCCACTCGGAATACAAGCCCATCAGCAGTGACTAGGCGAGCATGCTGTGTTAACAGTGTTTCTAATGACCGTGCGGAGCTCAGGGTGTGGGTGAAGGCCCTGGTCGTGTGCTCACTGGGGCGACACAGCTATTGGGCTAAGCTGGCTCTGCTGTGGGCTCGGCTTGCTGCCTCTTTCTCCCTTAGCCACCCTGTCTGGGCACTGCCCATAGCCCCCTTGCTTGACTCTGTGCTTGCTCTGTGGCCAGAGCTTCCTGCTGAGTTGCCTTCAGGCCTTTGGGACAGTTTACTGTTTTCTCACTGCATTGCATGATGAGCTGGTTTTTCTTTTTTCTTTCTTTTTTAAAAATCATTTTATTAGGGGTTCATACAACTCTTAATACAATCCATACATCAGTTGAATCAGGCATGTTTGTACATATGTTGCCTTCATTCTTTTCTAGACATTTACTTTCTATTGAGCCGTTGGTATCAGCTTTTTTCCCCCCTCCTGCCCCTCTACTCTTATAACCCCCTGACACATTATACATTGTTGTTATTTTCATCTCGCTGTCTCTCTTCCTCCGTGTTTTCTGTTCTTTCCCCTGTAGAGGGGTGTATGGTTATGTGTCAATCATTGTAATTGGTTCCCCCTTTCTCTTCCTCTCCTCCCTTTCCTCCTACACTCCTGGTATCACTGTTCCCACTTCTGTTCCTGGATTCTGTGTGTTGTGAGCTACCATCTCTTATCTATACCTGTGTACATGTTCTGGTCTAGTCTGAATTGAGAAGCAGCACTGAGGTCTTGGTAGTGGGGGTTGAGGATGCCTCAAGGGACCAGGGGAATATAGTGTGCTTCATCGATGCTTTACTGCACCCTGGTGACTCATCCCTCCCCTGTGGGCCCTCTGTGGGGAGACTGTTCCACTGTCTACAGATGGGCTTTGGATCTCTGCTCCAACCCCCTCATTCTCAACAATATGCTTTTGTTTGTTATGTGTCTGCTGATGCCTATTACCTGGTCCCCGTGACTCCTCACGATTGCGCCAGCGGTGTGCTTCTTCCATGTGGGCTTGTTGCTTCACTGCTGAATGGCAATTTGTGTAACTTCAAGCCTTTAAGACCCCAGGCGCTGTATCTTTTAATCGCTGGACACCGTCTGCTTTCTTTACCACATTTGCATATGCCGTTTTGTCTTAGCGATTGTTTCAGGAGAATGAACACCTCAGACTGCCAGTTGGCTAGAACAAACTGTCCTTTTATTGAAGGACGGTATGAGCAGAGGCCTGAAGTCCATCCCCTACCTCAGTATATTGCCGTATAAATATATGTACATGGGCCAATACTTCTATTTTTGTGGATTACTGTGTTTACATGTGTGCACCGCTGTTTATACCTCTACCCGTTGCTTTGCTCCCTTGGTCCTTCCTCTGTTTCCTTTTACCTTCCTCCTGCCCCACTGCCACTGTCCCCTTATTTCCGCCTCTTGGTGCCATTGCTCTGACAACCTCCCTCCCCACCCCCACCCGCCTCAGATCCCTATCTCCTCCTGGTTATGACTCCAACAACCAAGTTGCTCCCCTGTCCATGGTGCAGCCTGGATGAGCTGGCTTTTCCATCCTCACCCGACCAGTCATCGTTCTTCTTCAAGACCGCAGCCCCCTGACTGCTGAGAGCCAGCCAGCTGGAAAGGGGCCTGAGAAGAGCGGGCCTCGCTCTGTCAGTACATGCTCCTCTCCAGATGGAGCCGTGTGTGGAAGAGTGTGGGCACGAGTGGGGTTAAGGTGTGCTTCTCAGGCAGAATTTTTTTTATTTGAGAAACATTTTTGAGTGGTCATTTAGGTGCTTAAAGGGGCTCACCTAATTTTTTTTTTTTAATGAAACATTTCAAAATTATGAAAACCACAGTGAACAATGTAATTAATAGCTTTGTACTCACCCCTAATTAATGCAGGTGCATCTCATTGCAAAGCTTGTGGGTTCTCCACTGCAGAGGTGGGTGGGCTGTGGGCAGGACGCCAGCTGAGTGGTGGGAGGTAGCTTCCCAGTGGACGTGAGGCCCTTACTGTGCTGTTTCTTTACAGCTCTCCCGTGAAGAAGCCTAGTATCCTAAAGGTCTCCCAATTTGATGGTGACCGCTTTGATTCTGGCTCCGAGAGTGCTGAGGCTCTTGGGCTCTGTGTGTCCTCCCTCAATGCCCTGTTGGGCACCGTGGCCGAGACCGCTGAGGAGAAGTATCGCCTATTGGACCAGAGGGACCGGGTCATGCGGCAAGGTAACAGCCTCATGGAATCGTGTCTTTGTGAGCAGACATTCTTTCCTGCTGTCTCTGATGTGAACAAACCCTCCTGGTGAAACAGTCTCTTGGGGAGCACCCTCCTCGCAGCGCTGCAGGGTGTGAGGGGGAGCCCAAGCCCCGCTGTTCACAGCTCTTCCTTGGGTGAGCAGCCCACGCAGCATGGTGCGGGGCCTCAGATTTCATTTCACGTTTGAAAGAAAGCCTACAGACCCTGGTAAGTGACACCACGCAGAGGTCAAGTGTTGAGATGCAGAAAGCACATGTGACAATAGGACATCTTTCTGTGAAGACATTACCACACATTCAGAAAGGACTGTCAAGCCAAGGAGGCATCCGTCACTAGCATATCACCTACAGAGCTCACCCCCCTGGTATGGACAGAGCTCCAGGAACTAGTCAGAAAGGCCCAAAGCCCCATAGAAGAGTGGACACTAAGTGACTAGGCAGTCACACGGGGGTGGGGGGCAGGCAGGGGGGGGAGGGTTTTTTTGCAGTGGTTGCAGCAAAGAAAGTGTCAGGAACTAACTCATGAACATACCGGAGAGATGCCTCCCCAACCCCTCGTGGTGAGAGAAGTACCGTATATACTCATGTATAAGCCAAGCTTTTGTGGTAAAATTGGGTGCCTTGGCTGATCATCGGGCCGGCATATATTGGAGTATATGTGGTAGGTTTCTCACCTGTGGAATTTTGGAGACTTAGAGGTCGGCCTGCATTGGGGAGGCTGCAGGGAACAGCCTACAGCCCACAGCTGCCCCACAGGAGGGGGGGGTGGGTGGACATGCAAACTCAGAAACATAGAGGAGTCTGCCCTTTGTTGACTTTCTGCCTCTAGGTATCTGTCTCACAGACAGACCTGCACACGTGAGTGAGGCTTGTAAAGGTTACTTGTGACGGAGAAAGATTGGAAACCCTAGGATGTTGTTGAGTGGGCACTGGTGAAGGTAGAATTATTTTCACAGGTGGGATCCCAGCCAGCCGTAAATGGAATGGCTCCTTTGGGGAGGCAGTGGTGGATTAAGATTAGTGGTCAAGTGAAGAAAGCAAGGTGCCGCATTTTACAAGAGGGAAAGTGTGTGTGTGTGTGTGTGTGTGTGTGTGTATTTTGAGTTGTGCAGGTGCATTCCATTCCATTTAAACAATTCTTTTGTAACATTAACTGTGAGTTGTTTATAACCTTGGTTTATCTCCTCAGTTCAGGTCCCAGTTAACTTGCATTTTGGGATTCCAGTATGTTAAAAAAAATGATGCAGTGATAAAACCGCATTTCAGAAATACTGGTGTATTTTGACTACTTACACTTAGCAAATTAACCCCTTTAACAAATGGGGTGCTGCAGCATCATCGAGGTCATTGTAGAATTTGTGAAACACCCTGGTGTTCCTACCTGCAAATGGGGGCACCCCCTCCCTGGAATCTGGCCTTAGGTGCATGGGGAGCCACATTTGGGAATGGGCATCTCCGGGGTCTCTGTGAGCCTGGAAGCCCATCACTCAGTATGAGGGGTTCCCTTCCCTGTTCTAAGTCCACTTGGGAAGCTTTTCTTTCTTAGCCTTTTGTGACTTGTGTGAGTGACCCTTTTAAGAAATCCTGTTTCGTTCTGACTGTTATGAACATACACGGAAGGTGGGGCCCAGACTGGGTGGGAGTATTTATTCTTCCCTTGACTCTGTCTAGCTCGGGTGAGGAGGACAGACCTGGACAAGGCGAGGACTTTTGTTGGAACATGCCCGGACATGTGTCCTGAGAAAGAGCGGTACATGCGGGAGACACGGAGCCAGCTGAGTGTGTTTGAAGTGATCCCTGGGACAGACCAGGTGGGTGCCACAGCTACCCACTCCTCTCCAGACCCTCCGTTGTCCAGGGTGTGCACAGCCAGGCTGGGGCCAGGCTTGCTTTGTGCCAGGGCTGCCCATGCCCGTGCCTCCACCGAGGCGGGTGTTCACTCATCCTTGGCTGCTTTGCACAGGGGCAGGGGCAGCGCCCAGACCTCTTTGGGGTGGTGGCCATGCCCCTCCACGCCCTGCTGCTCTCATACCTGTTAGTCTGCACTGCTGTCCCCGTGGTGTTTCTGGCTGCTGGAGACATGCTCTGGGATTGGAACGAGAGCATCCCGCGATGTCCTTGATTTGTCACCCAGTGTACTTTTGGAGCACTACCGTCTCAACTTGATTGTCGCTCATCTGAACTCCTCGTCCTAATTGCCAAAAGTTTGTCTCTGAATTTGGAAAAGCAGGAAGGCAACCTCGAGCATGAACCGTGTGTGCCCGAGGGCGGCTGTGACACCGTGCCCATTGTAGCCTGTCTCTAGGTCTCACACTGGCAGCTCTGGCAGGGCAGCTCGAGCAGCTAGTGTGTGTGTTGAGGAGCCCCGGTTATCCTCAAGGTAGCAGTTTGAAATCACCAGCTTTTCTGCGCAGGACGGGCTTTCTACTCCTATAAAGAGTTAGTCTAGAAACCCACAGGAGGGGCGGTGGTACCCTCTCCTCTAGCCTCCTGACTCGGGCTGGACTCCGTGGCTGAGAGAGTGGGTTGACAGCTCTTGGTAGCACTCGGCAGTGCGGAGGCTGAGGTGCAAGCTGCAGCAGCTGGGGAAAGGGTTTTAAGCCAGAGAGGCGTAGATTTCCTAGATGCTGGCTGGGGCCGTCCCATGAGAGCAGCCTCTGCCCTGATGCCCCAGGTGGACCACGCGGCAGCTGTGAAGGAGTACAGTCGGTCCTCAGCCGATCAGGAGGAGCCCCTGCCGCATGAGCTGCGGCCCTCAGCGGTGCTCAGCAGGACCATGGATTACCTGGTGACCCAGATCATGGACCAGAAGGAGGGCAGCCTGCGCGACTGGTACGACTTCGTGTGGAACCGGACACGGGGCATTCGGAAGGTCAGAAGATACTGGGATGCGTTCAGATACCCAGCGGAAGTCGGTAGTTCCTTTCCTTTTACTCAGTGACGTTTCATCTCAGGAGTCCCTTGGTGGTGGGGACAGCCAAGGGCTTTACTTACCCCTCCCTGAAAGGCCGGCAGTTCAAACCCACCCAGGGTGCCTCAGAAAACCAGCCTGGCCGTTGGCTTCCCCCAGACTAGCCATTGGAAGCTCTGTGGAGCAGTTTTCCTTCGCACCCCCGGGCCGACTCAGAGTCCGCCCCCACGGCACCAGAGTCTGGTTTCTCAGTGTGACCGCGTTCCATGAGAACGGGCCTCGGGGGCTTTGTTTCAAACTGCAAAGTAAGACGTGGCGATCAGGAGACGTGCTTTTTCTGTAAGTTAACTGCATGAAACATGGCGAATGCCTGTAGGAGAGTCACATGTATCATCAGGTGTGCGTACTAATGAGGTACTCGTGTATGAATAAAGGTGTGTGCCTGTGTGTATGAGGAATTCACCTTCGTGTTTTTGTATAAGCATATCAGGTTTTGTGCTTGGATGTGAGGTATATTTGTGACTCGGATACATGCACGTGGTGTGTGAGCATGCATTATGTGCGGTGTATGTGTATTCGTGTGCAGAGTATGTGCCTGTGCATATGAACTGTGCGTGTGTGATGTACTGGGGGTGTGTGTGTGTACGTGTACGTACCTTCTCCCTTGCTTGTGGCTAGGACATCACACAGCAGCACCTGTGCGACCCCCTGACGGTGTCTCTGATTGAGAAATGCATGCGGTTCCACATCCACTGTGCTCACTTTATGTGTGAGGAGCCCATGTCCTCCTTCGACGCCAAGATCAACAACGAGAACATGACCAAGTGCCTGCAGAGTCTGAAGGAGATGTACCAGGACTTGAGGAACAAGAGCATCTCCTGTGTTGGTGAGGCAGAGTTCCAGGGCTACAACGTGCTGCTCAACCTCAACAAGGGGGATATCCTGAGGTGAGTCCGCCTGGGAGGGGCTGACTCCCAGGGATGTTGAAAGGCAAGATTAGACCCCAAAGTGCTTTCTGTAGGTGGTGAGATGATGGAACTGAGCCGCCTCTGGCATCCAAGTGCTACGCAGTAATCAAGGCTTCCCACATAGGTCATCGAGGTTGGGAGTCTGGACCCACCCACCCACACCCCTCCCCAGGGGCCAGGGGGTGGAGGGAAGGAAAGCCTTGGTTTTTGTTGTGCCAGTGAGACAGGATAGGAAATGGGTTTCCTGCTGAGCAGAAGAAGCAGGTGGGCAGGTCTGAGCTGGGTGAGCTTGGCCAGGGGGTTGCTATCCTGGCTGAAGTCTGGGCATTCAGACAGGCTGCGGGAGGAGCCTTGGTCTTGATCGGTGGCCGGATCATGTTATATGTCACTGTCTCTGCTTGCCCGAGATGCTTGTTTTTCATCTCTTGGGTGAACTAGTTTTAAAAGGGAGCCAGAAAAATTCTTTTTAACCTAGTCTCTTCCCCCCCACACACTCCAACTTGTCTCTGTCTAGATGTGTAACTGATCTTAACTTTTAAAAGCAAACATGCAAATAAGCTACCGTATATACTTGAGTATAAGCCGAGTTTTTCAGCAAATTTTAATGCAGTTTTTGTGGTAAAATTAGATGCCCAGGCTGATATTCGGGTCAGCTTATACTCGAGTATATATGGTAGTTAAGGAAAAAGTCTGGGCTTCCTTTTTTTTTTAATTGTGAAAATACATGTAACACCCTTTTTCCATTTCATACATTTTTACATGCACAGTGCAGTTACACCGTGTCCACCCTGTTTTGTGACCCGATTCCATTTCTTCATAACCTTTCATGGAAGCTCATTGCCCCCAAGTCCCTAGTAGCCATGTTCCCATGGCTGTGTCTGTACATTTGCCAATTCTAAATATTTCATATCACTGGGGTCCTTGTGTGTTTGCCTGCTTTTGCTTAGCATGATGTTTTTAAGATTGACCCATGTCGCAGTATGCATCAGGACTCCATTTCTTTGTGACTTCATGTCAGCTCTTGCTATGTGGCTAGAATTGGGCTTGGTGAGTCATATGGTAATCCTAGGTTTCCTGGTAGTGCTCTGGGGTAGGTGTTGGGTTGACAACTGCAAGTCAGCGCTTCAAACCCAACAGCCTTGAGGGAGAAAGATGAAGCTGTCTCTTCCTGGAAGTTGTAGTCTTGGGTATCCTTATGGGTCGCTGAGTCGGGATTTACTCGACGAGTTTAGTACTTTTCCAAGAAAATCCTCCCAGCACGGGATGATGTGCCCTGGCTCCACATCCTCTCCAGTGTTATCTGCTGTTTTCCTGAACGTTGCCATCCTTTTACCTCTAATTACCAGAGAAGTGCAGCAGTTCTCGGCTGCTGTTCGCAACTCCCCCGAGGTGAACTTTGCCGTTCAAGCCTTCGCTGCGCTCAACAGTAATAACTTTGTGCGGTTTTTCAAACTGGTCCAGTCTACGTCTTACCTGAATGCTTGCCTTTTACATTGCTACTTTAATCAGGTGAGTGATGTAGGTGTGCTTGCAAAATTGGAAGAAAGCGGCCTGTTGTCCAACATGCTGTTAGGTGTACCTCTGTCCCGGGAGCATAGCTGCGTGGACTGGGGCTCCCGCCTTATTACTGTCCATTACCAGAATGGCAGTGTGTGGAAATCCTGTCCTTGTGCTTAGAGAAGAGAAATCTCTCTCGGATGTTAGAGAGATTCAGCCCTGAGGGCTTCCATGAAAAACAAACTCCCTGCTTGAAGGGTCCCAGTAATGCTGATCTAGATGTTTGGTGTAAGCCTGCTCATGCTGAGGTTGCCTCAGCAAGCGCCCCAGCACCTGGCCCAGTCTGCCCTGGCGCACAGAAAGACCTGTCTCAGACTCAGTGAGCATCGCATGGGGTCAGCCTGTGTGGGCTCAGCCTCCCTGGACTCACCCTGCAGCTCCCACCATGGGGCCTCAGTAATCCTGGAGCAGTCCATCCACCTCTCACCCCGCTGCTCAGAGCACCCTGCCTCTATGCGGGCAGTCCCCACCGTGGGCCTCCAGCAGGGTGCCCTTTGGCTAGGTCCCGACGGGAAGAGGCCGCCCTGTCTCACACACTTAATGCTGTGGCAGGGCGGGGTTTGGCGTGTGCATGGGTCAGTGGGCTTTTCCTTGCAGATCCGTAAAGATGCGCTCAGGGCACTCAATATGGCCTATACGGTGAGCACACAGCGGGCCACTGCCTTCCCCCTGGACAGCGTGGTGCGCATGCTACTCTTTCAAGATGGGGACGAGGCTGTTGACTTCCTCAGCCTCCATGGCCTGACTGTTTCTGAAGGGTGAGCGCCGGTGCAGAGGGGGGAAGGGAGGGCCGGGCATTGGCCTGCCTGTGTGGGTTTCTCACTCCTGTGTTGGAGTTTCTCCAAACCCCACAACCCAGGGCGAATTGCCCTCTTGCATGGTGTCCCCCAGCCCGAGCGGAGCGTGTTGCTCCCTCGCCGGCCCGGCCGAGGGCATGCGTCTTCTGTCTGACATGCCTCTATTTCTTTGGAACTCAGCAGCTATGTTGAGCTAAACCGGTCGGCTTTCCTGGAACCAGAGGGCTTGACCAAGGCCAAGAAGTCGGTGTTTGTCACCCAGAAGCTGAAGGTGTCTATTGGGGAGATTGTGAATGGGGGGCCACTGCCTCCTGTCCCCAGCCACACACCCATGTGCAGCTTCAATTCCCAGAACAAATATGTGGGGGAGAGCCTGGTGGTGGAGCCAGCCCACATCCCCCAGAGACCTGCCACAGAGGCCACTGGTGAGTGGGGTGTGGTCAGGTGGGGCTGACTGTGGGTTCCCTGAAGCCTCCCTTGGTGGTTTGCGGGCAGGGAGTGTGAACATGACCCAGGGATCACTCAGTCTTTTAAAACTAGGCATGCTGACTGTCTCTGGAGACCATCACCACCCACCCACCCCTACCCCACTCCCCACCTCACCCCCGACTGTGGGTTCCATCTGGGTGGTGGCTGCCCAGCTGCTGGAGTTATCTCCCCACCCCAAGACCTGCATTTCCTTGCTTCCTGCAGGTGTTGGGAGAGAAGAGCGTCGCCCCGAGCCCACCATGCCCCTGCCCGGGCTGCTCCCACAGCCTCTGACCCACATGGCCATGCCTGGGTCTCTGCCTCGCCTTCCAGCCCCATCCTCGGCTGTGGTGCCTGGCCTCTTCCAGCCCCCGACACAACCGGAGCCACTGCCTCCGAGAATGGCGCCTGTGTACTCTGACTCGGTAGGAACCTTTAGAATCGCACTTTGAGTGCGTTGACTGGTCTGTGTGTTGTGTGGGTGTCTGTGATTGACCTCCGCATGGTCTCGGAGTCTCCGCACACGACACTCCGAGGGCTTCACACCCACTGAGGTGTCCAGGAAGGGGACTTGTGTGATAGAGACTGCCTTTTGAGACTTTGGAGTGAGCTGTAGCAGCAGATGCCCTTGTTAAAGGTTGATGCCAGCCTGCACCGGCCATCCGTTCAACACTGCAGACACGCAGCCTCCGCTTCCCCGTGAGGCAGGGCTGTGCAGGGCAGTTACGGAGAGAAGGACTTAGGGCTGACCTGCCTGCAGGCTCTCATCTGTCTGTGATTGACAGTAGCCCGTGGGCTACTCAGCAGGTGCCACCAGGGTCAGGGTCCCCAGATTGAAGTATAGCCACAGAGGGGAGGGTGTCAAGGGTGAAGAGGAGCTGGTTGGGGCATGGTGGGGCCAGGTGGGGCTTATTGTCAAGTGCAGCCATGTGGTCATGCTCTCTTGTCTCAGGAGGCTGCAGTCTGCTCAGTGATGCCCGGGTGGGGTCCTGCACAGGGACACCATGTTGGACGGCCCTGCATCGCCCCTTTGTCTGACTGACGGTCTCAGTTCTGCAGGCTGCTGGGTTACCTGGTTACTGTGACTCGGGCTTTGGAGATGTCGGGAGGCAGGTCAGCATGCTGCGCTGCCTGTTGCTGAGCCATGTCTGTCTGCCTGCCTGTCTAGGACATTGCACAGGTGGTGGATGAGATCATCCAGGAGGTTCTCCAGAGAGACTGTGAGGAGGTCGGCACTCTCGGAGCGGAGTACACAGCCACGGCCCTGGGGTGAGAGGCCTCAACTTCCTGCTCTAAGACTGTCCCCACACAGCTTCTCTTCACGGTGTCTCTCGGAAGGTGCTGCCCTCTGTCCTCCAAGAGGTGACACCTTCTGCTCACACAGATGGGAGCTCCTGGGCCAGTCCAGCCCTGAGTGTGGCCTGTTCTCGGGGCGGGGCTGGCGTTGCCGCTTGTGTTCCTGGCCCTCACTCTCCATTGGCTTGTAGTTTCCATGAGTGTGTGCTTTTTGAGCAAGTCAGTTGATTAACGTTACAGGTTTAAAACCCATTTTCTTTAAACTTGGAACAGACTGTGAGTAAAAAATCTAGAATTTAAAGTGAGTCCATTCCCCATGAAAATTGAAAGCACTCACTTTTATTTGATCTTGGGTTAAGGCTCATTTCATTTATAATTTGGTATGTTTAAATCCCTAAACACTGCAAACTATAAATGCAAGTTTAAAGTACTCACGTCTGTTTCTGCTTTCCGACATCTGGCAGTAGCGGGTTTGATCATCAGAATGTTTTCTGAGCTCTCAAGCAATTAAGTCAGGTATTCCTCAGGGTTCCAAGTGTCTTACAAAGCTCCCAGTGCACCTAGTGGCACGGTGAGGCCAGTGCTATTGCTCTATGTGCATGTGAGTCTCAAAGGGTGACCTCCTCAAAGGCGAGAGCCACTGATGGAGTGAAACTCTGCCTGGCCCCACATGCTCACAGGCCATGTTTAGAAGCGGCCCCTGCCACCCTGAGCTTCATGTTAGTTGTTTGACTTCCTGACTTCTCTGCGCAGTGCATCCGTTGTGGCGCTGGATGAGCTGCTGGGGGCTGCCACTGAGGACATTCTGAGAGTTGTTGCAGCTGAGGGTATGAATGAGGTGCAGGTCGAGGAGGAGCGGCGGCGGCGCCGGGTGGAGCAGGAAAGGTGAGTGGGACCCAGGCTCAACGGGGAAACTCCAGGGAGCCCAGTGGGGCAGGAGGGACAGACCTGCGTCTCCACTGACAGCTTCCCGATGATGACCTTCCTCTTCTGCTCAGAGGATACCCTCCTGTCTTTTGTGTTCAACTTCAGACTGAGACAGGAGAGAGAGCTGCTTTTATCTCAGCTGAGCCAGGGACTGGCTGTTGAGCTGACGGAGCTAGTGGTCACAGAATGTGTCCACGAGACTGCTGCCCAGGAGCTCAGGTGAGTGAAGCACGGGGCCACCTGGGCCGGGCAAGGTGTATCAGCTAGACCCGGAGCCGGCAAACTACAGCTCTCGAGCCATATCAGCTCTTTTGGTACACACATGTGGCTCTGAAGTCAAGTTGAAAGGATATTATTTAGATAGTGGTGATTTCATTTGCTTTTTAAAACCTATCTATGACTCCCAAGTAATTTTTAAATTGTTGAGAGGGGCAGGATTGGCTCTTCCAGCTCAAAAGTGTGCCGACCCCTGAGCGGGACCAGGGTCCATTCTGCACAGCTCCAGGCACAGTTCAGGGTAGCTGGGTTTTAACTACATTTGAGAAGAGGTGTGTCTTTTGGATAGCCGAATGGAAAACACCATCTCGCGCTGTGTGTGTGTGTCACCCTGGGGAATGAGGCAGGACTGCCCTCTACCCTCAGCTTCCCTCCCCTCCATCTGACCCTGTACCAGACAAGGGAGGCCCCACGGCGTCTGCTCCACGCCAGCCACCACCCTTACTGCTTTCAAGAGTGGTGAAAGATCCTGATGGTGTCTCACCGAGCCCTGTCTATCACGACGTGGACCCTGCTTTGAGCCAGGATTCACAGGGAAGCGGGCACTGCGTATGCAGGACCCCTTCTCACATGTGAGCCCCCGTGGACCCAGAGTTGAAGAGTGGGTGGGGACCACACTGGCCAGCTTTGCTGTTCTGCACCATTGGGCCCTGAAGCGGCTGAATGATGGGTCCGCCAACTGGTGCCACCTCCTGCCCTGCTGGTTGGAACTTACCTTCCACAGTTGGGTGGAAGCCTGGGACACAGAGGAGACCGATGTTCATGTTTTCATCCCAGAAAAGGCCAGCAGGAGCCGGTTCAACCGGCGCTCATGCATGACGTGCATGGAAAGTGCCGCCCCCCTGCAGGCCAGAAGCTTGACCCGCACAGCTCCGGCCCCCAGTGATGGCTGTGGGAGCACACCTTGCCTGGGAAACCACTGGGGTTTGTGGCTCAGTGCACTTGACCACATCCCCCAGGTACCTTGGAGTACAGGAGCTTGTGAAGCATCTCCCCAAGAGCTCCACAGGATGACCACAGGCACCCAGCTCGAAAGCCTGGACTTGTGACACTTATTAATTCCGAGTGTCTCATGTTTGGCAGTTGCCTCAAAGTTCATTTAAATACTAAGTTATGCAATTAGTTTATTATGGCCAAGGTTGATTTTTCAACTGCTTTCAGGGTTACCACAGGCCCCAGGTAGCATAGTGATTACACGCTGTGCTGCAAGCACACATATTGTCCTCACATATTGTCAAGTGTGGCTGGGAAACCAGGAAGACCTTGGAGGGACTGAGGCAGGGCTGACCAAGGGCTGGGTGACTGGGAGAACCTGTGGGGAGAGGGGCACTGACCTAGTGCAGGAGATGCCCATCTTGCCCGCATGGCCCAGGTTCAGGAGGAGGCTCCGCAGGAGAAAGTGACGCTTTCTGCCCCTGTAAAGCGCTCCTCTCCGAGTCTCACCCGCCCTCTCGGGGCTCCGGGGAGGTGGGGTTTAGTTGTGAGCCCACCACATAGCCGCTGGGACCATTTTGTTCTTTTCGTCTTCACTGGCTCCGGTCTGTGTGCTTTCAGTAAAGGTAGAGATCTTGACCCTTCTCTGTCGGTGTAAGAGTCACAGCGGCCCCCTGGCTGTGGTCCTTGCCTAGGTGTGCGCTGGAGGCTGACCAGCGGGCCCGGCTGGAGCGCTGCTGCGAGGATGTCTCTGCCCACTTGGCGGACTTATTCGTGGAAGAAGAAACCTTTCAGACAGCAAAGGAGACCCTTCAGGAGCTTCGATGCTTCTGCAAGTATCTACAGCGGTGAGTCGGTGCCTTCAGGTGCCTCTTCTCCCAGACGGAGAAAACCAGAGCCAGCCCTTCTTTCAGCCAGGGATGAGGACCCGCCTGCATTTTACAGCAGTCATGCCCCGCTTCTAGCCTACTGGGATTACTCTTCCAGAAATAGTGGACTCGTGTACATACACCACACACATGCACATTTGTGTACATGGAAATCTAAATGCTTGGCCAGGAAAGCCGTGCTCCCTGGGTTTGTACTGG